CACTTTGGAGTTACCATTCCGTTGAAGGTCATTTTTGATTATGCCTAGTTCCTTTCCGAGATCTTACTTTGTATTAAAAAGCCCGAAAACACGGTCTGGTAGAGTATTGATGATTCCTCTCTCATTCGATTGATGGTGGTTGGATTCCTTGTTCAGATACTGTCTCGTGTGAGTGGGTTTTCGATATACAGATGTTCCCCATTTAGCGTCGGTCCTCTTCACCAATACGTCTGAGAATGGCAATTCTTTGTGGAATTCCTTCGCCATTGTGGAAGTGATGGAATGACTTACGTTGTTGATGTGCTCCAGGAAGGTGTCTAGTTCTGCATTCCCATGGTTCCATATTATGAAGGTGTCGTCCACGTATTTCAACCAGACTCGGGGCTTTTTGTGGGCTCCTTCAATTGCCAGAGTTTCAAACCACTCCAGATATATATTGGTTATGACTGGTGAAAGTGCCTTATGAAAACCAGGCCACGAAACGCGGACTGTGATTCCCAGAATTGCATTTACCGGATACCCTGCGAGTGCGGAGAATCATACATCGGTGAAACTAAAAGGTCATTGTAAGTTCGCACTGCCCAGCACAAGAAATACACACAGCGAGGAGAAAGCAGCAAGTCAGAAAAGCAGAGCATGTTTGGACTCATTTACAAAACATCAAGTGGGCTCAAGCTGAAAAATCATTTACAAGGAGGAACAATGGCTTAGGAGAAATTTCGAAAAAGACGCATATATGTTATCCAACAACGCATTTAGCCAAGCTAGCATAGAGATACGCAACATATAGATTCCTCTTATCAAGCGAAATACGACCAACTCTCGTGAAACGGTCAGCTCCCACTGAAACCGATGAAGCTGTGAGAGGGAATAGGGGTTGGGTGAAAGCACTCGAATGACCTATAGTCATATCTCGAAAGAATGAGTCCAGTTATCACCCGAAGACGATTGTGGATAATAACAATCGATACGTCGTGAAGTAACTTGGTTTGGAATCTTTCAATTTTCATTTCTTGTTAATGATTTTTTAATTTTTATCTCGTGTATATAGTTCAAATTTTTCTTTATTTTTGCTTATTTCATTGTTATTTCAGGTTTTTTTTGCTTGATATAATTGTGATTTATTAGCTAATCTTTTTTAATTTTTTACAGATTCATTCAGGGATTTCAAATGAATTTATATCATAGTAGACAATGGATGTCCGAATCGGAGAAAGTACATTCATTTTCATGACTGAGGTGAGCACTCGAGAGTGAATAATGGAGCGCACTATCATTGACCTGAAATGCACTGTCAGTCAGAAGCGTTGACTTTTTAATAAGCCAGTAGCTGACATTGACTGTATTAAAACACCTTACTGATAATATGGATTAATATAAGTTCAACTTTTCTTGCATCTCCGCATACGGGTTGACAGTCTTTCAATTATTAATAAATTGATGAATGCAGCCATTTCTGCGTGGTAGGAAATCATCATAAAAAATAGGAATTTTCTGTTTTTGTACCATTTGTATTTGTAACTACCGTTGACTTCCATCAGGTCAGACTAATAATAAAGAAGAATTAAAAAGTGTAGCTAAAAATAACTATTATATTGAGCAAAAAAAACCTGAAATGAAATAAAAGTGAAATAAAATACATGTAAAATTGAAACAATTGAAACAATTGATTGTTGAAAAAATTAAGAAATAAAATCATAAAGAAATAAAAAAAAAATCAAGAGTTTTCCAGCCAAGTTACTTCACGACGTTTTAATTGTTGTTATCCACAATCATCTTTGAGTAATTTTCAATTTTCCGTTCAACATTCCATTTTGATTTGTATTTTATTTCACTATTATTTCTTTCATTTCAGGGTATCTTTGTTCAATATAATTGTTATTTTCAGCTATTGTTTTTAAATCTTTTTTTCATTAGTTCTTTCACGGATTTCAAATTTTATGTAATATTCAATAATGGAAGTCCGAACTAATGAAAGTCATCATGAAACATTGACAGTTACCCTCAAAGTAACTACCATTATTGCAGTTTCGTCCTACAAGGGCATTTCCAATACAATACAATACAATAAAATGAAATGGTCAACAATGTACACCTTCATATTATACCCTTACCACCAGAGTCGGTAATAACAGACGGTCCTTAATGACATTATCACCTGAGTTTTGTTTACCTGTGACAATGTGGGTACGCTGAGCTGGCAAAACTGATGAGTAGACCAGGTCAATTTAGTCATTATGTAGGTTAAATCCAATATGCTTACATTTATAAATTTCCAAAGATTCCTAATGGTTGAGTTTCCAACTCTTCCCCACATAGTGCAAAATTTTCGTATCGTTCAGATTCAGAAACTTATGGTTGCATTCCGAAGATTGGTTTGAAAATGCGAATCATTTCAATCTAGTCTGAATGACCTTTCATGTTCAGCACACCGTTTTGAGAAGTTTCGACCACATTGTCTCACATATATACTATTACACTCCGAACACTTAAGCTTATGAACTCCAGATTTCTCCATCTTGTTCGCTTCATCTTCGGCATTGAAAAAAATTGTTTATGACCTGACATTTGGCCTAACTGCAACACTCACGTTGTTTTATTTGTGAAAACCATGCAATCGTCACTGTTCTTTCACCAAAATATGTCGAAGTTACACATTTTTTTTTATATCTGATTGTTTGATCTGGGAGTACAATAATATGTTCGTATACCCACAGATCAAACAATCGAAAACTAGAAGAAAATGGTTACAATATCTTCATTTTCCAGATATCAAAGTGTGGTGAATATATATAAGTTCTACTTTCAGATTAGTTTATCCTACTCCTGATTATAGTGATTTTTGTGAGATTTTTTCATTTTGTTTGAATGCTGTTACACATTTTCTTCAAAAAAATTTGTCATAATTGGCCCAAGTTCACCGTGTACCTATCCACAAAAAATAAACCACAAGAAATTTTACAACTACAACATCAAAAACAGCCTCTGGAGTTCAATACTGAGGCATATCTATCAATCAGGTGCATCTGGCAATGTACATATATATTATGATAAAAAGACAATAAATACTTTTATTCTCCTGCTGATAATACTAATATTCTGCATGGAATGAATACTAATAGTTTGAAAGGAATCATTATCATAAAAATCTGCTAAAAAACCAACTTTGAACCTCTGGTATCAAATTAATCTTTCAAAAACATCACAAGTTGAATGGGCATATCCGAAATTTGCCCAATTCCTCATATAAGTGAAGAAAGCTTTTCACATATAATATTACTGGAGTTTTTCTCCCAACACCAAATCGTTATTTTCAACACCTCGACACGTGTTTCGATCACCAAGTGATCGATTAAAAGATTGAAACTAAGGACTAGTGCAAGCTAATCCTATTTGTGCTATACAGGTAAACCATCTGTATAGCATAAATAGGATTAGCTCGCGCTAGTCCTTAGTTTTAATCTTCCTCCTTGAAGATGATCACTTGGTGATCGAAACACGTGTCGAGGTGTTAAAAATAACGATTTGGTGTTGGGATAAAACTCCAGTAATATTCATTACTACACCAAAGGTTCCAAACAGTGCATCATATTTTCACATATAGTCAGTGGGCATACTTGAAGACTGGCTGTAAATCAAATTACCAAAAAGAACGATTCGTTCAGACCAGTCTCAAGTTACCTACAATGTAGGTCGGATGTAGATTAGGTAAGGTTAGCTCCAAAGTGAGTAGGTCTATTCGACCCTCCACCGCAACCCTCAACGGTTTATTGTGGCTCACCCTTTTTCACACTCGACCAAATAAACCCAGTTTCATAACGAAGCCGATTAGTTTGTATGGTGAGTGGTATTTCAAGTCAGATGGTAAGAGTACGGCTCTGCCAAAATCTGAAAACCTGACTAACTCCCCACCGGGGCAGGCACAAAGTATATGCTCTGCTGTTTCATCATTTTCCAAACAGGGGCGACATACACTATCTTCCGACAGTCTGAGTCTCTGCATATGATGATTCGAATGACAGTGACCTGTGAGAAGCCCTGTTAGACATCGTAGTTCATCCGTATTTTAGTCCAACAACTGATTGATATCAAGCTTCGAAGGGTGAATAAACGCCTTGGAGTGAGCCAATCCTGGGAGATTCCGCCAAAAGTCCATACATCTTCTTGCCATCCAGGTGTTCAATCTTTGTTTGGCAAAGCCTAAAGCGATGCCAATGACAGGTTCTGGTCCGATGAAGCTGCTTGCAGCAGCCTACTTTGCAAGGGATTCAGCAGCCTCATTGTCTTTCAGGTCAGTATGGCTAGGAATCCAGACGAGAGACAACCTGTTGAGTCTTCCTATCGAGAAGAGTCGTTATTGTCAATCCAACGATCTTCGTGGTATGAGCCAGGGGAGTAATTGTTTTCTAATAGGTGTCATTCCATCAATCTACAGTGTATGTTATTTGAGAATAGCCTGAACGAATTGTAGTTTAGATAGTTTGACTTTCAGAAACATTTTTTTCACGCCAGAACAAAAGCAATGTCTGCAGAAGTGTATTTTGTTAATCAAATATTCATTATTCTCTTTGATTAAAAGCTAGTCAAGAGACAGAATGAGAAAATTGTTTTTAGTAGATTGAAAAAACAGTATTTTTTGAGACTAAAATTCATCAACTTGTCATATAGTCAAGTAGTTCCAAAGTTATTCTATGGCAAATTGTAATATCTCAAAAAGTAAACCGCATTCCGAAACCATTGACTACCAATCATGAAACATCGAAATTATTTGAAACATTTACAAAAATGGCAACAGATCAGTAGATTGTATTCGTGAGACATTTTCACTCGCTTTTCGGTAAAATGTGTTCATGTCAAGAGTTTTAGCTATTTCAAAATGTGGTTATCATAATTCAAACACTCAACTCAACACATTTGAGATACTGAGAATCATCTTCAGGTCATAATATAATTGGTATTGTAGTGACACCTTTTTCAAGAGGAATATTAATTTTTTTCAGGTTGGCAACGAAGTCACATATGCCGAACTTGCACTAACTCGCCCCAACACTCTCGACACTATTAGGAATGGAGGTAACCAGTTCGGCACACTCCGCAACAGAGACGACCCTACGATTTACGCCCAAATTGACCACAATCGGAGGCCCCCAGCTACAAAATCTTCGCCCATCGTTTCACCTGCTTCTGCAGTTTTTCCTCCTTCCAAAGGTATCTACCACAGAGAAGTAGTAACGGTCCGGACGCCACTGATGGGCTGTCAACAGGAAAGTTGTGTATAAAGTGTCCTACGAGATATTTCTTGTGAATATACTGAAGTTGAGTGTGTTGTATGAGAGTCTCTGGTGAGTACGGTCTCGGAAGATTAAGAGGTTTCGGCTTATTTATGGGACAAAGTGGGAGAGTATTTCATTATGCACTCCACTGAGTTCAGAATATGGTTTATTGAAAACTGAATAGTGCAAGGATGATATCTTGGATATGATACGAGGAATTAAAAAAAACATGAACTGTTTCAAGTCACCTGAAATAGACAACGACGTTTGCTTTATAAAAAAATTGAAACTGTGATCTAGTTACACAGAGGGTTGCGTACAAAGTGAGCCAAATTCGACACTTTTAAAAGAAAACTCCTGTTATCAAACTGGACAGATGAAAACTGGTGTCTGAAGGTAAAATTCTATGGCCAACTTGATGATGAAAAAGTATTTTATCAATGGGACAACCTGTTTATTCCTGCATATTCCAATAGATCTCAAAATTATATTTCCAATAAAGTAGCACACTTGATGTTTTGCTGGAGTCATCTTTGGGATGCAGAATTTCTAAGTTTTTTCATGTAGACTTTGAAACGCACACTTCGATCAAGTAAGCTTTTGACGACACAAAGATGAAACAGAAAGAAATTGTTCAGCTTTTCACAGCAGTGATTAATTAAAACGCAGAGTTTCAATTGAACTATACTATATCTACTACTGATAAATTAAACTTCTACAATGATAATAATGATGATGAGTAACAAATCAGCTCTTCTACACACAGGCGACACCTTTTCTGAAGGCTTTTTGCGGAAGGGGTTACTTCAATAGGAGTGAGAGAAGCAAAATTTTGTTCTACTGCCGCTTTCAATTCGTAACTAGAATTGGTCGGCAATTCAAAAATAAGATCTTCCAACCTTCCCCAGAGGTAAAAGTCCATAGATGTTGGGTCCGGCGATATTGCCGGCCAATGGTTGGGTCCTTGGTTGGCTATCCAATTATTAGCAGAATTTTCAGCCAAAAAATTTCTAACAATTGCAGTATTATGAAGCTAAGCCCCTTCCCGGTAGAAATATATTTTCTGAGCTCAATTAGTGACAATTCATCAACAAGGAGTTCAATATACTGCCTTAAAATTTATGAATACCTCTGAGACTGAGAGTTCCATCATAGATAAATAAACGGGCCGATAATTTCACCACTGAAAACATCTGCCAACACACTGAATCCAAATCTTCCTTGACTTCTCTGCTCCACAATAGAATTAGGATTTTCTTGTTACCAAGAATAAGAATTGTAGTAGTTGAAAATACCGGTAATGCTCACATAAGTTTTGTCTGTCCAAATACAATTCAACGAAAAATCATATACTTGGTTAGAACTTTCCAGGCAACTACTGGCAAAAAGCCATGCGTCGTTCAAAATCTCCTGCTTTGAGTTGTTGATGAACTCCTCTGGTCCTGTGTGGCTTGAATTAGTGTCAGTTCTTGGTGGGACTGTTGATATTTTCAAATTTCGCATTGACGTTTTGGTATTATCTTAACATCTCCTATAACGACTATGTCTTAGAACTCCTTATCCCTATTTGATTCATATGATTCTAACCTTTGTTTTTCAAATTGAGCACCATCAATTAGATTGTGTCGCAATCTTGCGAAAATGTCTCTGAAAGGTTGTCTTCTCTCTGGATACTTCTCGTGATACAAATTGCTTGCTGCTTCTGCATTTTCCCGTTTTGTCTAAAACAGAATATTTATTATATCCCATTTTTCATAATTCTCATAATTCATTGAAAATGTGTTTGAAAATTGAACGAAAATTACTAATTGAAGAGCGCTTTTACTGCTCAAATCAAAATTTTACAGCTACCAGTAAAGATATGCATTCCGTTTTATCGCCACATCGTCCAAAGCCTACTTGATGAAGGTGTGCGTTTCAAAGGATTTGTTCATGTTTTGTCAATTCGTGATTCGTCACCCACCCCAAAATTTATTTTTTCGTCACCTGTACCTTTTTGACCTTTTCGCAAGTAATAATTTATTCCGCATTCGTCAGCTGGGACTACTAGGGCCATAAAAGTCCGTAAACCTAAATTCTTTTTAATGCCTATTTACAATAATATTATATTAATCAATAATCTACACTAATATTATAAAGAGGAAAGATTTGATTTTTTGTTTGAATTGAATAGGCTCAGAAACTACTGGAACTGGAACTACCTAACCTAACGCAAGGTCGCAGGTGCAAAGATGAGGTGACGAAACAAGAACACCTCAAGCAGGTATATTTTGCAGTTGACGAAACAAGAATAAAATGGGTCATAACAGGTAAAATTTCCCTAGGTGACGAAACACGAATTGACGAAACAAGAAACTACCTTTCAAAGTCTACATGAAAAAATCTAAATGCTCTGTATTTCAATGATCACTTCAATAAAACATCAAGTGTGCCACATTTTCGGAAAGTTTATTTCAAACTCTGTTAAACTATGCAGGAATATACATGTTATCACATTAAAAAAATAACTATTGATATATCTTTTGAAAAAATGAGTTTTTTACACCGATGAATTATACTACAGCCATCAGTTCTCTTTTATCCATTTTGAAAACATGAGTTTCTCTTTGGAAATGTCCAATTTGGCCCATTTGACACAAAACTCTTTTATGTTGCCCTGGGTCATTATATTGAATCTGCATCTACCAGAAAAATACTGAAAATAATAGTCACAGCTTCAATTTTGGGGTTTCTGATTCGCTTAACGGAAATTTCGGGTCATATTCATATTCCATTCACAATTTGTGAAATTGAAACAGTTGAACAGGTATTCATGTGGTTCGTGCTTTCATTTCGAATCAATCCGATATCCCTTCAAGAAATTCATACGTAAATGAAAATGAAAAGCTTTTGAACATGATTCAGTAACATAGGTTTTGGAATTGGAAATGAAAGTTATATGTATATAACCTCAAATAGTTAACTCAAAAGTAGCTGATTTGTGCACCTTCGATGTAATCACTAAGTTCACCTGAAATTTCAGTCCATGACTTATTAACATCTGTCATAAACCAATTTTTATACTCGTTTGTATGTGATACATTATATAAACATAGTTTGAATTTGTACATAGAGATGAATAAGTGTAAAATTTACGAATAGGTTATACCCCCTGATATTAAAAAAATAGGTGTAACTAATCAATGACAATATACGTATTTTTGAATTATATCTTCGTACTCTTTTTGGAATCATCTTCCCAAATATCATTCAACATATCTGTGGAATAATCTTCATATCTATACTGATAACTCGAGAAGATGCTTCAATGTTTTTTCAATCACTGTTTTACATTTCGATTTTTTATGAATGTCCATTTTCCTTCCGAACATTTTTCAAAATTTCCCTTCAGTAAAAATATAAATACTGGAGACATACGTTGACATGACCTAAATATAAGCATACATATCTTCCAAGGGTATTACCCAATACAAACTCTTCCCAAACTCAAATACATTTTTCATGTGATATTTTTGTTCAGCAACAATCATTTTGTTTCCAAAATTCTGAAAAACATTTTGTCTGAACTTTGACGATGTTCGCTTTCAAATTCTGATCAACGTTCCTGTAGTAAAGAGTGTATATTTAACAAAACTTACATGTAACAATAATAATAGTGTAAATGTCAGTGTAAGATTTTTGTAAAAATTATATAATTTTCTATCCGGATGAACGAGAGAACATATTATATAAATCAGTTGGCTGTCAAATCACATCAGTTACCTTGTGAAAATAATTCACTGGAAACTCGTAGACTATAGAGGGAAGTCAGTATATGTTATTGACACTACCAAGTATTTGATATAATTGATATGGAAATATCGCTAAACAATCATTATGAAATATTTCAAATTTAACGATTCACACAGTAACTGGTCTGTCTTGATACATACAGTAGTTAGCACAATTATGTATAAAATGTATATACACATCTTCAAATATTGTTATTTCCAATATATGTGACCATGAACTTTCATTGAAAGGAAAGAAGTGATGAAAATCATTGAATAATTCTATAAAATTTAGTGTTTTAAATCTCCAACTATGACTCTATAAGAACTATGTAACAACTGTGAACATAATATAATAATAAAGTGTTTATGCTGCGTTTGTCTTTTATTTTGAGTTCAAGTATATAGTGTACTAGCGAACCGCCTCGGCTCCGCACGGGTGCAATGCTGATTTTAAATATAAATTTACCCACGGGAAATTTGAGAGCATGGAGGGACATTGATGGAAGTATAATTTTGTTTCATGAACGCTTCTTTTTACTTCGCGGCTGGCGCCCCACTGGGAATATTCAAATATGCTTTCTTATTGCACATCTTCAATACAGGGTGTTTCAAATTCGATCATAACCATTGGGATCTCGGAAACTATGAGAGATACAAAGATGATTAAATCGGAGCAATGTTGCGCATTCACCTGACTAACAAGATGCCGTTGAGAAAATTCTCAAATTCGGAGTATATCCGGAGACATCTGGAAAAAACAGAAATTTCGGAAAATGGTTTTTATTTTTTTCTGGCTTTATTTTTCGAAGGATTCGAAAATAAGTTGCACTTCCACGTTGCCACTTTTTCCCTGCTACATAATGGTGTTTTCAGATTTGCTATCCGACGTCTCGTCTTCCGGCCACCATCATCAACTTTATTTTTCTGACGGGCAATATAGCGCCTGTTTTGAATGAAATCAGATTTCACCTTCTCAATGATGTATCATAAGTTATCATTCTTTTTCGAAAAATTAGAGACATTGAAAAATATTAATTTTTATCATAATAGGCTTTGACTTTGATGATTCTAAATTTGACATTCAGTGACATTTTGTTATTGTACAAGTTACTGAATTTGTGTCGAAAAATGGCTTCCACGAATAAAGAAAAAAGTTATATGATACAAATTTAATAAAAAATACGATAGAAACAGTGGTAGGACGTCGAAAATGTATTTAAACTTGGATCTCGAAAGACGACAACCATATCGAACTATGTTCAAGTTATTGGATCAAAATCTCACCGAGTTTTGTTCATTTGAACTGTCGAGACAAATAAATGTAGTTTGAAAAAACTAAAAAATAGGCTTTTGAAGGACATCGAACTAAAAAGTTAAAAATAATTTTTTTAAATGAACTTAATACAATAACGAACGAAAAATAATAGTATTATTGTGAAAAAAGCGACGTGCGCTTGATATATAAAAATATGGCACAAAGCGCCCGCGTTACTTTCAATTTGTATAACTTATATTCTTTAAAATAATAACACTTTGACAATAATATTTTAT